AAGAAGAGGGGGAGGAAGAAGATGACGCGTATTATTTTGCTTTTGATACTAAAGAAGAGGGGGAGGAAGAAGATGACGCTAATGATTTTGATTTTGATACAGAAGAAGAGGGGGAGGAAGAAGATGACGCTAATGGTTTTGAGTTTGATCCTAAAGAAGAGGGGGAGGAAGAAGATGAAGATGCTCTCAGTTTTTGTATTCACCTTTGATTTGGATGCTAAAGCAGAGGGGGAGGAAGAAGAAGAAAATGCTGTCAGAATATTGGATGCTAAAGCAAAGGGGGAGGAAGAAGAACTTGTCATGGGCCGGCCGTTCGATGAACAAACGTGCAGCCACCTACCATCGGGGGTTGGGGTGCGTTCTGGGTGGTTTTGAACTTTTGGTTGACTTGTTCAGTTTATCATGGGCCATTCGATGAACAAACGTTCTGCGCGATCATCATAACTTACCATGAGGCATTGGGGAGCGTTCTGGGTGGTGGGTGGCTGGTGGACCTGGGGTGCTGGGTGGTTGGTGGACCTCTACATCGACCTGGGTTTCTCCAACGTGCACCTGGCATGATTTGTCACTCAGTCAGATTCAGTCAGATCAGTCAGTATCAGCTGCAACTTCATGTTCATAGTCAGTTTCAAGATTAGCTATCGAACTCATGCCAGTTGTAAAAATGTCAATTTACTATTCTGCCTATCTTTTGGCCGGAAGGAGGACATAATTGTGGATCATCAAGGAAACAACTGATAGCTAAGCATGAAGGAATGGTTGATGCCAAAGAGTAACATAATTCATCAAAACAGAAGAGTACAGGCAAAGGCAACACAGGGAACACAAACAAAAAACAAAGACTCCATAGATACATTGATTGAATCATTGAACCATTCGCTGATATTCGCGGGCAATGTCGGGATCGGTAGCACAGGGAGCGCAGGGAGCATCAGGAGCATGGGGATCAGGATATGCAACGCCACCTCCACCTATTGCTCCTTGCCAGATGACAGTGGTGCAGTATTTCCACCTTTGTCACTGTGTAGTAGTAGTCACATGTTCTATTGACTCCTTCAATGACTTAGTAGACTGTGATCGCCACTGTTGAGAACGTGTTGAACATCCTGTTTCGAGGGTTTCCTTGTCACTCGTGGCTTGCTCGTCCGTGCAGCAGCTGGATTGTTGGCTCTGTTTCCATTTGAGCCACCTGAGGTATATGTTCAACTCCAAATCCAAAGCTTGCACGCTGAAACTTTCTTTGCTTTGAGAGAGTCTTGGCTGCAAGTTTTCAATTTAAAAATGTTCAATAAGTAAGAACTTGAGATTTGAATTGACAATTCATGTGTTTGACGTGTTTGACCATCTGAATTATAATCTTTGGACTCAGGATGTCAACGAGTTTATCGGGCTCCTTGAGGAAGTGCTTGACGACCCAAATCAGAGGAGACCTGTACTACTGCGCTTGGAGTTGTTCAGGACCAGTCTGGAGGAAATCCTGCAGTACACAAGGTCGCTTTGCAGGTTCTTTGCTGTTGACTGTGACCCAGAGTAGGCGGCAGGATGTTTTTTTGTCACTGGACTTCACTTCACCAAGAGGCAACCACTGTTTGAACGACTATTTCAAGTCCCATCAAGCCCGTGTGTGGTCCTTTGGTCAAGTGATGAATGGTTCACACAGTTGAACTCACAATGATAAAGTCGATTGTGAGTATCAATTTTTGAACGGAGCTCAGCGAATGATAGCTGCTCACGTGAGGTTGAGATCTTTGAAGGATTCACAGTAATTGTCAATCGCTGGTGATTGACTCATCCTCACCGAAATGGTCCACTGAAATGAGTCCCTAATTAGCCTTTTCAGGCAGAGTCCTGACCCATTGAAGTGGGCGCCCTGTGAGAAGTTTCGCTGTTTCTGAATCACATTCACATTCACATTCACATTCAATCACTCATTCAATAATTTCACATTCTTAACGTTCACATGCTCACATGTCTTTCTATCTCACATCGTTGCTAAATCTGCTGTGCAACTCCCATGTCGTCCCATGCCACTGTGTCACTAGAAGGCGGTCCACCATTCTGTCATGACTGACATTGGACATGAACAAATAAACAAGTCAACCGAGCCAGGTCCTCAACATACCTTCGACTTGCTGCACCTGTGCTGGAAGGCAAGGATGTGTCGTCGTGTTCTGTCATTTGTTGATCGCGCGTGTATACCTTTAAGGTTTTAACTTTTGGGCTGCGGGTGGATTCACTCACCGATTCTGATTCTGATCCATGGTTTCCGAGTATTTTTTATATCGTGACTGTTTCTTGAATTTGATGTCATGACAGGAGTTTGATTCATTTAATGTTTCCTGGTTTTTGCCAACCACCGATCCATGGCCCTTTGTGGATCAAATGAAGGCGGCCTTCATACCCTCAGAGGGAGCACATCAAGCAGTTGCCACACTCAACTTGTTACCACACTCAACTAGTAACTAGCCTTCAAACTGACCTTCAACTTGCCGCACTCACAGTCAGATCAGATAAAATGTCATTTGCAGATCGAATCACAGTCAGATCAGATTCAGTCTTCAGCCGATGAGAAGATTCAATTTCAAGCTTTTCAACCCTCAGCTTCAAGTCAGATTCAAGTCATCAGATTCAATTTTTCTGCCTGCGTGCCCTCCAACTCCATAGCGGTGGCACAGCTGCCGGAGAAGTACTTGAAGATCGCCTTGCAGCTGGATCGCGCTGGCCAGCAGACTTTGTTTCTGCTGTACCTTTGCTGCAAGTGGACACATGATGACACATGAGTGGCCAACTGAGATCATTCATTGGCCAACTGCCATGGATTCCGCATTGCAAACATTTCAAGGTGGAAGCTGGATCCTGCTCTGTCCGATCAGGCGTAGCTTGGAACAACTTTTGCTAACCCATGCATTGCAACTGCAAGCTTGTGTCATTGCTTTGTTTGCTTGTGTCATAGTTGCGCACGAGTTGTGGTGTAGTGGAACTGGATCTGAGGATTGGTGAATTGGAGAGCGGCCGCGTGTACAACTATGGCGGGTGCTTGCACTGGAAATACGTGGAGCGTGCCTCGCTGGCCACGAAAGGTCGCCATTCTCGCTTGGCCCATCAAAGGGATGAGGACGAGAGCTGCTTGGTTCACATTAAGATTTCAGACGCATGCCCATGGTATCATCATTCTGATCAGGTTGCGTTTTCATGCCACGGGCTTGCAGCTCTTACCGTGTCTTCTAAGGCCCAGGCCCACCTTCCAAACGGCAGCGTCGTTGACCGTCCTCAAGACATCATCTTTGAAGTGGCGGACCACATTTCAGTTCAGTGCCACAATTTGTGTTGGATGCTGGAGTGTCTTGCTTGCACTTATTGATGTTCAATTGACCTTGACTTACTTGCTTGTGCATTTTCTTGTCATTTGTTGGTTGTTGACTGGTTGTTGACTGACACATACTTATATGGCTATTCCTGCTCCACATGCCCAGGAGCGAGGAGCATGACCGCGCCGCCATTGATCGATCCATCTTGAAGCACTGCGGCTTGGTGGCCAGGGTGTGGGAAAGCGATGCTTGGCTGCATTTTGTTTGATAGTCTTGGAGTGCGTGTTCGGTGTCTTGAACCATTGATTCACATGTTTTGCGGGGTCTTGAACCATTGATCATGTTTTAGCATCTTAGGTGCTCCGGAATCCCAACACAACTCGCGTTATGTGGCGGTTGTTTAGCTCTCCTGCCATCTTGGTCTTGATCAACTGCTCGGCTGGGTATCACAGAGCCACCACGGTCACCGCGATCATGTATGCCTGGTTGATGGTCTTTTGGCGACAATAGTTTTGTGATTTAATTTTGCTTGCACGCTTCTTGCTTGGGTTATGCCATGTTACGCCATGAGTTCACGAGCGATCACTGAGGACCAGGGCGTGGAGGTGGTGGCTGCGATCATGTCCTTATCAGGCAACTGGCCCGCGGACTTGACGGCGGTTTGGGGCTTCATCCATGGCCAGCTTGGCAGGTATCTTGGCAACCAATGAATGAATGAAATGTTTTGTGAAGCAATTGTCAAGTGTTCATGTCAACATTCATTCAGGCCATCTGCATTCACTGATTTTTTGAGGATGCCAGCCATGAGGGGCATCGCCCAGAACTGCGGCCAGCATATGTGGGGGCTGCAAGATTT